GATGGTGTTCCAAAAATAGTTGAATCAGAACTAAAAACCCATACATTAGATATACATACATATAGGTAATAAATAATGTTTAGAGGTAAACAAAAAATTAATATTTTGTATTTTTACCTGTTGGATAAGTTATCCAAAAATAGAAAGCCCTCACACCATCTGGAGTTTGCATTTTTTCTAATATATCTAGTACCATTTTCAGGAAAACAGTGTTCTAAACACAACTCTGAGTTTTTACGATTTTCAAGGATTCCTATCAGAGAAAACCAAAGTTTTCTTTTCTCAGGATCTTGCGGAAACCTAAATAGAGTAATAAAAAATATGTATAGGTGCTCAATAGGTAAATCATCTTTAAGGTATTCTACATTTTACGTTATATTTTCTTTGCCACTATGCAATAATTATTTATTGGTATAAGAAAAATTTACTAATTTATAAAAGGAATATCACTTTAAAAACTGTTTTAAGAGTGTTTTAGACTACACAAGTTTTTGATATAATTTTTTGTACAATTTAAATTGTATATTATCAAACCTGCAGTAAATTGTCTGAAAAATTAGATTGGATAATCATTTTTCAAACAATTTACTATGTGATCCTATATAATTTAAATTCTATAAGAAATTGTATCAAATCTTGTACAAGCCCTACTCCACTGGTTCAAATGAAAACAACATATCTTAACCTAAAAATACTTACTGATGAAACCATACATTTCGACTTAAATGATCTACCTTTTTGAACACTACACATGTATGTACCATAATTCTTTATATTTCTCACAAAAGTTCACAAAAATAGTATTTTATAAATGAATAAATCAATAAGTCACACAGAAGCTGTCAGAAATACAAAATAGCTGTTAGACCTGATTCGCAACGTTGCGGCTGGTTACGGTACTACATTTCATTCTTAAAATTGTAAATTCGTGATTATCTTAATGTACTACAGGAACACGGCTTTACTTCGACAATCAACTCTTCCACGAGAGTCCAAAATAATAGCAAGTCGTGTTTGGACCACATCTTTATTAAAACTTTGCATGAAACAGACAATATAATACCAATGGTTTTAGAAAATGATCATTACACTACAATTTTACAAATAATTAATGTAAACTGTGAACATAGCCGCCACCAAAAAAGTATAAAACATATAAATTACAAACAATTGCAATATAATGCAAAACTAGTTCTTTGGGATGATGTTTATACTGAGGATTCAGAACTTGCAATAAATAAATTCATCACCATTCTCTCGAATGTTATAGAAGAAAGTACAGTAATCAGAAAATCAAATAGGAAAACCACCAAAATTGCACCATGGATTACAAATTCGATACTGAAATTATTAAATTAAAAAAATAAAATATTTAAGCAACTACAGAGAACGAAAAATAATACTGAATTAAAAAACTTACATAAAACTTATAGAAATAAATTAACAAATACAATTCAAAACGCCAAGTATAATTTTTACAAACAACTAATTAATTCAAACCAAGGCAAATCTAGCGAATTGTGGCGTATAGTACAAAACCTGAGCGGTCAAAAAAAAATACAAAAAAAATTGAAGCTATCAAAAATGAAAAAGGAGACACTTTATCTAACGATAAAGCTATCAGCAATGAGTTCAATCAGCAATTTGTTAAAGTGGGTGTTAATCTAGCCGAAAAGATTAAAAAAGATAGTTTGATTTCATTCCCTAAAATTACGCTTCAAAACTCGATGGTTTTTCTTGAAGCAAAAGTGTTTGAAGTTACAACATTAATAAACGATTTAAAAGACAAAAAAGCACCTGGAATTGATGAAATATGTGCGGAAGTGTTAAAATCAACGGCATCATCAATTGCAAATCATTTAATATATATTCTAAATCAATGCATAAAAAAATCTATATTCCCCTCTGCGTTCAAACTTTCAATAGTGACACCTATTTTTAAAAAAGTTGATAAAAAAATTTTCAGTAATTACCGACCAATCTCATTACTTACACATTTATCAAAAATTTTTGAAAAATTAATAAAAAATAGACTTAACAATTTCCTAAACAAGTTTAATATAATATATCCCAAACAGTATGGTTTTAAAGTAAAAACGTCTACCGAGGATGCTATACTAACATTAGTTTCCCAAATACACAATGCTCTAGAAAAAAACAGACCAAGTCTCTGTATATTTCTTGACCTTAGTAAACCTTTCGTTACAGTCGATCATTGTTTATTATTAGAGTGTTTGGAAAACATAGGTATTAGAGGAATCCCCCTGACCCTACTTAAAAGTTACCTAACTAATAGATATCAGAGTGTTAGAATAAATGGTGAGACTAGCGAACCTGAGCTAATTAAGTATGGAGTGTCTCAAGGGAGTGTCTTAGGTCCAGTCCTCTTACATATGTATATTAATAATATGTTTTCAATTGATAGTCGAGGTAGAATTTTGGGATTTGCAGACGATACTGCAATTTTTACTTTCCTATCTGTATACAGATATAAGGAAAGTATAGGAATCATGATTTTTTTCGATCTCGATTTTTCGACGGATTTTTACTTTTTGAGGTCCCCTGAATCCGTTTTGACTATTTTCGCGATGATGTGTGTGTGTGTGTGTGTGTGTGTGTGTGTGTGTGTGTGTGTGTGTGTGTGTGTGTGTGTGTGTGTGTGTGTGTGTGTGTGTGTGTGTGTGTGTGTGTGTGTGTGTGTGTGTTGTGTGTGTGTTGTGTGTGTGTTGTGTGTGTGTTGTGTGTGTGTTGTGTGTGTGTGTGTGTGTGTGTGTGTGTGTGTGTGTGTGTGTGTGTGTGTGTGTATGTGTGTGTGTGTGTGTATGTGTGTGTGTGTGTGTGTGTGCTTGCGTGCGTATAGAACAAAAATTATAGATAATAATATTATTAGTAACTTTTATTTGAAATATTCTTCTCCAAACGTAAATAACGGATATATTTCATAAAATATAAAAATTACCACCAATAAAGTACCCCCCAAATATTCCGACTTTGCCCAAAATCTAATCAGTTCACCGCAGGCTGGAATAAAGCTTAAGTTTAAAATTTGGTGTTTTTCTTTGTATCGGTTCATGAGTTATGGTGGATACAGACACAGACACACAGACACACACACACACACACACACACACGCACACGCACACGCACACGCATACGCACACGCACACACACACGTACACGCACACGCACACGCACACGCACACGCACACGCACACGCACACGCACACGCACACGCCCACGCACACCCACACACACACAGACACCATCCCGAAAATAGTCAAAACGGATTCAGGGGACCCCAAAACGTAAAAATCGTCGAAAACTGGAGGTCGAAAAAAATCATGATTCCTATACTGTCCTTATCTGTATACAGATAGGAAAGTAAAAATGCGATATATTAAATAAATCGGTCAATTGAGAAAGCCCATAAGTCACAAAATTTACATATTCCCTAAATGGCTTATTCTTATTGTTAACATTTCGGTGCTCATTTCAACGAGAATTCTTATTAGTCGTAGTACTCCTTCTTTTGAATTTTCAAACGTCAAAATCGCTGACTAATGGTGTTTCTCGAATACACGCGGCACACGAGCTAGTACAATCAGCTGTCTCAGATTGACCAAAAGACAGGCTTCTAACGGTGTTTTTGCTCCAATAAACAAACTGTGCAACTTGTGAACTATATTAAATAATGTTGGAAATACCTGTGCGATCCATAGGGATAGAAGAACCTTCTAATTGCACACTTAATTTTAAAATACTAATGAAACGTTGATCATTTTATTACAAACTACATAGTTTTTACACTATATACAAACTTTTCTTCGGAAATTTGTTACTTGAGCACTTAAGACATCTTTTACACCGCAGAACGATGTTTTGTGTTTAAGAGGTACTAAAACTGTGTCGGGAGAGAAGTTGCTCAGGTAGATTGAGAGTGACGCTCGATGTTGACCAATTAGGAAGTGCCTTATGCCGTAGTTTTTAACCAATGAGGGCGAATGTCGGGTATGGATGACCAATGAGAAGTAGACAAGGAGCAAATGACACCTGTAACGTAGGTATGAGACGGGAGACCGTTCTTATCGGCCAAGGCAGTACCGCAGAGACGTCTCCACGAGTAAAAGGTAGTGCGGCTTGCAGAAACGTGTCCAGGAATAACAAAGAATTGAGAATAAAATATTAGCGCAATTTGTATATAATTCAACGAACAGTATCACAAGATAAAAAGACATCACTTAAAATAAGTCAGTATGTACATTTTAAACATTTTTTTCGCAAATGAAGGAGTTTTTGTGGCAAAATATTCTATAGATGGACTTGTGATACATTTCGAAATACATCTACACATCCTTCCACTCTTCCTGTGAAAGACGCTTATATTGGAAAAATACATATTAACAAAGAACAGATGAATGATTTGGTCAAACCAAAGTAGTATCTTCCGGAATGAGACGTACTTGAATTTTATAAAGATAACTGTCCGACTGTTGATAATGATAAGGTTTTAGATGAGGTTTTAAATTAAATAAAAATATTGTTAAATAAACATATTATTTAATTAAAATATGTAGTTTTATTGTCTAAATAAATTAAAGTAATATCCATATGTTTGAGAAACCACATAAGTCATGATTTTCGAAAAATATTTTGGACCCTTTAGAGAAAAAAAAAACAAGTTGTCTTGATTCTATCAAATAGTAAACTCATCTTGCAATTTTAGAATAAAAAAAATCAATGCTTTTTCTCATACACAGACGATTTAACAAAGTATTTTTTAATTTCCCAAACTTTTACTTTTCTGACTTATGGTGTTTCTCAAATGACCGATTCAAATATGATAGACTGCAGTAAAACGGCACCGTCACTTACCTATTTATTTTGTTTATCTTAGACTAAAACATACAATCTTGGTCCAGGAACCATTTATTTAAAATCGCTTCTTTATAAATACGCCCTTTGGACGACATTCAATTTTTATAATTTTGTTTTTGTTACAGACGAGTCAACAACAGCAGCAGCAACAACAGGCGAATAGCAAAAATTCGAACTCTTCAGCTTCAAGTCCGGGCCTGTCGTCGAAAGTTACGACAACCTCGACGCCCGCGTCGCCGGTCAACTCGACCACGGGAAAAACGGAACCGAAACCGGTCGAGTGCAACCTGTGCCACAGAAAGTTCAAAAACATACCGGCGCTCAATGGCCACATGAGACTTCATGGGGGATATTTCAAAAAGGTTCGTGATCGTGTAGGTATTGCTTTGATTCATTTATATCAAATTGGCGAATAACGTTATTAATTTGTTTCGAGTTTCTATTATAATACTAACTGTATAATATATCTCCTAGGAGTGACCCCCGTAAAAGCAAAATTTTCTGCTAACTTTCAAAATAAATTATTGTTAATGTTTTAATTGTTTCGGGCTTTACTTGATGAAAATTCATATTGTTCAAATGAGAAAAACCAAAATTGGTAGATTTTCGCACACTTATTTTAAAAAGTAAAAATTAAAAATTATTCCAGATTGGTAACAGCTGCTAATGAGTTCAAGCGCCCTGGGGTATAATCTATACGCAGGTTGTAAGTTTGGAGGAATAAAGCCCACCGAGCAAGGCGACCACTTAGTCACTTCAATGACTGATTTCAAGAGTTGGTGATCGCTTTGTACTGTGACCATAGAACCTTCTAGATAACCACGAAATTATTTATACTCCATACTACAGCTAGAGCTTCTATCTCGGTAGTAGAATATTTTTTTTCGGCTTGCCTATTCGACAGGACGTTCGTCGGGTCCCTCTCCCTGGAGTAGACATGCGCCAACAGCATAGGAACTACTATCAGTTCTCAGTACATAGAGTAGTTTTGGATTAGCTTGTCTTACAATCGAATATGAGTTTAAAAGTTGTTTGAGCATTTAAAGCACTTGCTGCCAAAGGGCATTCTTCCTAGTTAGGCCTGTTAAGGGTTTGGAAATAGCGACAAAATTATCCGTGAATATCCGAAACCAAAAAAATGTTTTGCGGAAAAGTTAGTAATTCTTTAACATTGTTGGGATCAGCCATGTTCCAAAAAGCACGGACTTTGGTTGGATCGGGCTCTAGGCCCTGAGGAGTGACAAATACTTGACATAGGAGCAGGCAAAAATGCATTTCTATCGATTCAAATGGAGCTTAAATAAATCAAGGCATTGAAAAACGGCATTAAGATAATTTAGGTGCTCAAGAAAGGATTAAGATAATATGATAAGGTCATCGAGATATGCCAGGATGTATACATCGAGGAGATCAGCTAAAGGGCATGCAATTAAATCAGAACATTCCAAATGGCGTGACAAATGCAGTTTTGTCACGATCAGATGGTTTCACAAACTTTAGATCTAAACTCGTCATACTCGTCATATAATTAGTTTTCTCGGTAGCGTGTAAAAGATCATCAATTCTTGGTAGTGGATATCTGTCTGCACGAGTCTTGGCATTTAATCCTCAGTAATCAACAGTTAAACGTATTTCGCCATCTTTTTTGGCCACAAGCACGACCGGGGCAACATATGGCGACTCACATTTTTCTATTGTTTTGCTTTCTAAAAGTTTATCCAACTTGGCTTTTAGTTTTGCTCTTTCAGGTTTAGATAACCTGTAAGGAGGCACGGCAACTTGGGTATCATCTGGCAGTTAAATTGTATGTTCTGCAGAAGAAGTGGGTTTACATCTACTTTACAACACTTGCTCTTGTTTACGTAACATATTATTCAATTGTTCTTTTTCTACACTATTTAGTTTCAATCTCTCATTATCTCGTAAGGAATTGTCAATAAATTGAACTAATTCTGTACCAGGTAGATGCGCAGGTTCATCTACAAAACGATACTGATTATTTGACGTGTTTTTTTAAAACCATATGGACTTTGGTTTATCCAAAATGATTTGGGCTTCTGTGATGAACTCAACTCCAAGGAGAGCGCGATTACCAGAGTAACTTGGAACCGAAATAAATCTGATGAGTATATGTCTACCTTGAATTGTAATTATAGTGTCAAACGCGTATGTTTCAACTTGACGTTCTTTTCCATAAGCTAACGTCAAAGTCATATATTGAGAAGTATGTGGAATATTTTTTGCTAATAATAAGTACTTGACTGGTCTTCGAGTAGCATCGAGAGTCTACGAAGCGCGTTATCATCCGATACTTTAGAAATGTCTTTATAAGTTATGACATTGTCCAGAAACGCGTCAACATTTGCCGTATCTGATCCAATAAAGTATGTGGTACACTTCGCGAATGTTCCGTTAGTCTGTAAAGTCTGTATTGGTGTCGACGTCAAGGAACGTTGAATGTCTATGGCACTTTGTACCGAAATTTCTTTTAGCGTGTTAAGCAACTGCGGAAATTGTTCCTATGACATGGTTACAGTACTAGGACCTATATCTGGCACTCCTTCTGGATAACTAGACTTTTTGGAAGCCATTTGCGTAAAATTTACTAAATCTGTAAAACTAAGATATTTTAGACAGTCTGGCAACAAAGCGATGCACATTTACTGTATTTAGCTTTAAAAGTTTAAAGCGTGGCAACGTCGGAGCTCCGGAGTGATAGTCCACGATTTATAGAATGTCAATTCTGTAATTACCGGTCTGTAACTCGGCGCGAACTTTGTGAAGTTATTCAGACAAAAATTCATAAAAATGTAATTGACTAATTACTATCTTAGTGTCTGTTAAAAAGGTCTTTTGGTACATGCACTAGACAATGATTAAAATACCACAGCCAATGAAATCCAGCAGATTGACTGTTTTCCAAAACTATAATGGTTGAATGATTCTGATAATAAATTGGATCGGACTCACCAAATGCAGAAACAATCTGCTCACTAACAGATACGAGGTATGACAATAAAATTATAAGACTTGTAAAAAATCTACTTTATTTAAAAAATAATACAACTTAATGGTGCTCCCCTTCAATTTACTCCCCTTCCCTATCGACACAGCGTTGCATACGTTTTTTCCACTGTTGGAAGCAATTTTGGAAATCATCGGAAGAGAGGCTATTGAGAAGTCTTGCCGTTTTTCCCTTGACCTCTTCTAATGTGCCAAAACGGGTTCCTTTTAACGATTCCTTCACTTTCGGAAACAAGAAGAAGTCGCAAGGGGCCAAGTCTGGTGAATATGGTGGGTGGTTAAGGACAGGGATCTTCTTATCAGCTAAAAACTGCTTAATGGAAGTGGCTTTGTGGGCCGGTGCATTGTCCTGGTAAAGCAGCCACGCGTTGTTCTTCCATAAATCTGGTCGTTTTTTCCTTACACGTTCCCTTAGTTTCTTCAATACTTCCAAATAATAATGTTGGTTGACTGTTTGTCCCTCAGGCACCCATTCAATAAGAATAACACCCCTAATATCGAAAAAACAAGGAACATCGCTTTCAATTTTGATTTGCTCATTCTTGCTTTTTTCATTCTCGGCTCCGAAGGGGTCTTCCAGTGCATGGATTACCTCTTAGTTTCTGGATCATACTGAAAAATCCATGTTTCGTCGCAGGTAATTACTTTTCCTAAAAAATATGGCTCCCCATTTAGCCTCTCAAGCGTGTCAGAACATTTTTGGGCAGACTTTTGTCATGTTTAAATCATTATGTAAAATTTGTCGAACTGTCTCTCTGTTGATATTTATCATTTCTGAGATCATTCTTACACCAAGACGCCTATCCTTTCTAATAATTTCTTTAATTTTTGTAACATTTTCGTCTGTTCTCGTTCATCATCTTTAACTTCTTCCTGACCCTCAGAAAACCTTTTATGCCACATAAATATCATTGCCCGAGACATACACTCCTCTCCGTAGACCTCTTTTAGCATTCGAAAGCATTCAGTGGCCGTTTTACCAAAAACTTTAGGTTAATACGTTGCTCGATTTTTTTGTTTGTCATAATTCCGGCAAGTGAGCTAAGCACGATCTGCTTCCAACCACTGCTGAAGCCAAACTAAAAGAGGCAAGGCGACAAGATTGCGCGTGGTAGTACAGCACATATCAAAGTCAATGACCCATCACTGCACGAGGCTGGCAGATTTTAAAACTGCTAGTACGGGGGCCAGTCTTAAAATGTAATTGCCATACCTCGTATTTGCACAAAATAGTTATATTTCACTTAATAAACTTATGAGCTGTTTAATTGGATTTTCTCGAAAATGGGTGAAATTATCGTGTTTAAACAAGATTACTAATATTACGTTGAAATGATGTTTACATCATATTTTCTATTCAAAAAAATTTCATCATCAGGAATTATTCACGTTGCGTGCCCTGTAGTAAATATGAAATAATACATAAAATAATATTTCTTATCTAAAGATATGCCTATGTGTCGATTTTGATAACAATTCATAATTTGAAAAAGTGACATTTCGGTCTTTAGTATAATAATATACAAAGTAAACTTACTAGTTTAGCCTCATTCGATTTAAACCTAAAACTTTTGTTTACAATTATGGTGAGAAAGTTAAGTTGTTAAGTCAATCATTTCATCACGTCATTTCTAATTATTATCCTATTCGTTTCCAAATCAGTCGAAATCATGACAATATTGGATGAATGTCTAATTATAGTATTAAGGACCCGCCGGCCATTGTGGCCGTGTAATCGTAATTATCTGCATGATGTATATACTACAATTTCACTTTGACTATTGTTTAAGCTGCCATTTCAAGTTCAGTTAATTTAGTTTAACTGACGTTGTTTGTGATTCAGTTGTACATACAGTTTACTATGGTATATAACGCATCGTAATAAGCCACAAGCGGCTCGTTCCATGGTTCCGTATGTGCTTACATCTGTACGCCCTGGTTTGTTGGCGCGATTGGGAGGGCCTATTCGTAATTTAACAACCGTTTTGTGTATGGATGATAATTAGTAGCGACCTACATTATTAAAGTCTTTTATGTTCGAGGGTGGTTTGCATTAACCGCGGCTAGTAGTAAAATCGATAACTAATTTTATGTTCCATATAGAAACCTCCAAATAACGTAATTGTGTAACAAACACTGAACACCGTCCCACTACATCATCGCTTAGTGGTTTTTCACAGTGTTAACGTGTTTCCATAAATGATAACACACTTATATTTTAATATTTTAATATCTGGGAAAAACTATGCTCTGGAAATTCATAAATTATGGATGAAGTTATAATCGATTCATCTATAGTCTGAAAAAAGAGTAGTGCAGTAAAAGTTGGAATATAACGTCACATTCCATAGATGTACTTTGCAAAATATGTTTCTATAATAGACGGCATATAAAATGGCATGGTATAAAAAATAAAAGGCAGGAGTATCAACCAGTGGCGGCTTGTTTTAATTTAAAATGGGTGTTCACTTTTTTTCCAATTTTATCGTCATTGAAAACCATTTCTAAACATTATTAGTTATAGTCAGCTGACTTTTCTTTATATTTTGAAATTCTTTTTAAATATATATCAGGTTATGTACAAAGCTTGACATTGATTTTTGTTTAAAAAAAAGCGCTTGAAAAAGGTATTTATTTGAAAAAGTTATTTATTTGAAAAGTTAGTAATTTATTTGGAAAGTTATTTATTTGAAAAAGTTATTTACCTATTTTAAAACTTTGAAATTACTCTGTATAAAATTGACATAAATAATGTCAGAAATTCGCTGATTACCACTGGGATCTCGAAACTCGTAGAAAATATTTCAATTAATGCGTAACATCCTTCTGAAAATTGATAGTCTGTCACAATATTCGAAAAATCTAAAACTTGTAAAAGGTATAATTCTAAAAAAACTGTGAGATATACAGTGTGTTTCAAAAAGGTATGTCAAATTCTTTCTCAGATAGATTACCAAAAAATAAGTGGATTTGGCTTTATTTACTTATATCAAAAATTGGCTCCTAACAAAGTTACAGGGCGTTAAACTAACATTAAAAAAACGTTTTTTTTTTTTTTTTGTAAAAAGTGTGCTGTTTCGAGTTTTTCTTTGAATTTTTTTCCAGTGCTGTAGATTTAAAGGCCCAATATTTTAAATAGAAAAAAAATTAAAGCGACACCCTTAAAAAAGTTTTGGGGGTTGGGTACCTTTTAACCCCTCCGTATTTTTTTGGCATAAAGAAATTTGCTTTATAGATCTTAAAATCAAAAAGAACTATGAATTTTTAAATTTTTTTTATAGAGAAATGAACTTTGTATCTTTCTTAATTAACGAGCTATTTACAATTTTTTAACTGAATTTCTAGAGCAATTCGTCCGTCCTGGACTTTACCTATTAACAAAACTAAGAGTAGGTCAGAAGTTATTGTACAAAAAACGCATATAAAAATCAGTGGTGTGCCTAGGGCTGTGCTTGAGCCACCCCTGCAAAAACTACCTCTTTTATTTATATTTTTGTATTCAAGAAGGAGGAGGACATGTTAAACGTTTACTAAATTAAATAGTTTATAAAATATGTATAATACATATTGTCAAATGTTTATTTTTAGTTGTTAATTTTTTAATTTAAAACATAATTTTTTTATTTACTATTAAATTTAATTAATAATTTTCAAACTAACGTGTATTTTTATCAGTGGCATGGTGAACCCATGAGAATGGGTGGCTCATCATTTTTTTGGCGTCAATCCAATATTTCATTTCGCTATAAAAAAATTGATTTTAGGATCTATAAAGCAAATTTTTTTATGTCAAAAAAAAAAACGGGGGGTTAAAAGGTACCCAACCCTCCAACTTTTTTTAAAGAAGTCGCTTTAATTTTTTTTTCTCCTTATAATATTGGGCCTTCAAATCTACAGCACTGGCAAAAATGTCAAAGAAAAAATCGCAACAGAAAACTTTTTACAAAAAAAAAAAACGTTTTTCTGAATGTTAGTTTAACGCCTTTAACTTTGTTGGGAGCCAGTTTTTGATATAGGTAAATATAGCCAAATCCACTTATTTTTTGATAATCTATCTAAGGAAGAAATTATGACATACCTTTTTGTAACACCCTGGATATCTTGTTAAATATACACCACCGAACTAAAGAAATATTACAATTTTATTTTATTTCCAAGTCCCGACCCCTCAACAACTGGGCTTCGACTTGTCTGTGTGATGTAATGGGCTTTTATATGTATATGTATTGTTTACGAAGTATTAAAACTTTTTTTTTTGAATATACATGACTTGTTAGTTTTAATAACATATTTCTATGTTCTGATAAAAATTTTTCTATGATATATCTCCAACCAATATGCCACTATAAGTACTGATATCGGTAAACATTTAATTAAGTCTTCATTAAATAGGTACATACCTAACATAGATAAACTATTTAGTTTCTTGAATTAATTTGGCCAAGTGCAATATTTATGTTTTATATCGTCTTTAAAGCAAACTGTAATGTAAGTTTAGTTTTCATTTTTTTTAAATGCATGCAGCACCATCATTCAAGTTAAATCTGCACTGCTACAACAGGCTGACACTGTTTATCAGTACCTTTAGCATTTATAGATAGGATATATGATAATATTGTAGTTGACGGGTCTAGAAGTGCCCATATTCACACCACTCTACACTGACGTCTAGAATTTGAATTTGATACAAATTTAAATTATCTCTATTGAAAAGTGTTATTGACATTATAAATAACGATAGTATTATTTTTAAATGATCTAAAAGTTGGTAAATAGATGAATAAAAGATTCAAAGAATGTGTTGTAATGAACCTGTTTGACCACAATGACAGGAGAGAGTCCAGTTGTCCTATTCTATGTAGATGAATTAGTGTCCTATTCTACATCTGCCCATGGTAGTAGTCTGATTCTTATTTAGAATAATTCCTCTTCCCAGTATACCCATGTTTTTTTAAACCCTTGGTAATAAGTTTCTATAGTCTACTTCATTTATATCTATTCCTTCTTTCTTTTTGCCCAAATTTGCTAATCTGTCTGCTGCCTCATTTCCTTTTATATTTCTGTGGCTTGGAATCCATGTCCAGTAGATCTTTTTATTCTTCATTGTTGCTTGTGCTACTAATTTCTTGATTTCTACGTCACTGACAAAATGTCATTTATTGTGTCCAGGGTAATGGTCTGTTATTTAACCGAAATATGAGTTACTCGGTCCAAAACTAACCGCTCTGTTTGGGATTCCTGAAAAATCAGTTAAATTAGGGACGCGGTTACCTGAAAATGATGACTCAAATGTCAATTCACTTACGGTTACTATTAAGTCGAATATCAGTCTGTCAGAAAAGTGACGTAAAACTAGATCGTGGTCCAAACATAATCAAGAAATTCGACTTTTCAGAAGTCCCTGTCAAAAAATCCTGGTTACTTGCAGTTAGTAGTCGGTTAATTTTCGACCATATCCCAAATATCACCGAATGGCATATGTCATCTGTCAAATTCACTAACCGAATGGCATATGTCAGCTGTCAAAGTCACTACACTGTTTCCATTCCGACCGTGGACGTTTGGTGCATTCTGAGTGTATTCTCACTTTCTTGTTTTCCATATCGATAAACAAGGACACCAATATACAGTAAAAAACGTAATACTGGGTCTGTTCTGGTTCTGTAAAAATATATTCTAGCTAAAAGTTTTACGCGACGAATAATTTAATATGCAACTGTTCCACTATATCTCGGACGGTTTAAAGCCCATTTTAAAGAAACCAAAACAAGCCTACATCATTTCGTTCATTTCGAAATATTGAGAAGACAAAGACAAAGAATGTAAACCTTGGTTCGCCTTTATACCTTCTAGAAGTTTTGAAATACATCTTCGGCTAAATTGATTCTCATAAGTTACACAAATGGATTTAAGTACCTACCTTCCATGCACTCATAGTTTAAAAATATATCTAAATGTTCGTTGAAGAACATACTAAAAACTCCCGAATATAAACTAAAATTTACAAAATTATAATAAATGTTCCATACTTATCGAAATAAGTTATTTAAAAGCCGAAAATAAACTTGTGGCAAGTGTCTGCAACTTTTTATTTTTAAATTGGATATAAATTTGTGTTATTAAACTTATATTAAGTTTTTAAAAATTAAATTATGAAAGAAAATTGTCAGCTAATTTTATTTTGCAAATATACAACACTAAGACTGCTTCAAGTTTAAAAATATTAATTTTCTCTTAAAAACTTATTGTCATTACCTGAGGTTTCTCTTATTTACCTGAGGTTACTCTACTGCCCAGTTTGCTGCTTTCTTTTATAGATAATTCTTTTATTATTTTTCATGAAGCAAAGTTAATTAAAACAAATTTTACCTAGCCAATGAGCCAAATTTTTAAAAAATATATTTAAAACTCTTTAAAAAGAAAACTTAATTTTTAATGATCTAAGTTTATTACTATTATCGATAATTCTAATTTTATTTTATTTTATTTTTCCTTCAGGATTCAGAAAATAAAAAGAACGAGAAAAAAGAAGTCCCTGCACCACCTCTCCAAACGGCGAGCTTCAGCGTGCGAGCCCTGATAGAAGAAAAAATCATCAACAAACGGATAACGAACACTCCCCAACCGTCAGAAGATCAAAAATCAAACGCTCCGCCACTATTTCCCATAAACGTGCATTCCTCCTCATCAACGCCCGACGTAGAATCGAAAATATCATCGTTCGTCGTGCCAGCTCCTCCGACACAGTCCACAGATAAATCCCGAAGACATTCCGACGCTGAAACGTTCCGCAACACCACGCAACAGGAGGCGCAAACGCTAGCCGACCTCATCTTGAAACGAGAAAAGGTAATTTTAACAGCTATATATTTCAAGGAACCTGAAGAGGTTAACAGATGTGTACATGCAGCTTGATTCAGAAGTTTTCTCTGCTAATTTATGTATTGTAAACTGGCAGCATGTTATACATCTTCTAGGAAATCTTCTGACAACTACCTATATCACAAATATTTAAGAGTTTTTTTTTTTTCATGGTAATCCTTGTATATTGTAATTACCTTGTTGGTATAAATTCTAAGTAGAAAGACCTTGAAGAGTCCAGATTTTCTCATTTCTAGATAGCTGGTCTTGTTAACAAATGCAGATAGAATTAATTATTTAAGGTACTGAAGAAGCTGTCTGTGGAGTTCTACCTAACAACCCAGGTAGCAATGAATATTGGCCTGATATAAAAAGTCAATATTGCCCCAAGATTACAATGTTGGCTTGACAAAGTGCTAACGCTTGAAAAACGAGGGCCAACGTTATATTCAAACATTAATTTAATATATTTTTTCGATAAAATGCCAATATAACTAAACAAAATTGGATGAAGATTAACGTATATATTGAATACAATATAGAAATTATGCCGCACGACAAACAAAACTCAATATTGAGTTTCATCATTGGTCCTATATTTGTCTTTAATTTTGCACCTACATTGTTCTACAATATTGGTTTAAATTATGCAATCATTCTAAAAGCAATGTTAGGTTAAAAACGTATTTAAATATTGTCTGCGGATCAAAGTGCTAACGCCTGAAAAACAAGGGCCAACGTTGTAATGAAACATTTATCCAATATATATTTCAATAAATCGCCAATATAAGTAAACGATATTGAGCTTATATTAAAGTGTAGATTGGGTACAATATAGAAATTATACTGCAGTACAAACCAAATTCAATATTCTTTTTCAATATTGGTCCCATTTTATGCCATTATTATCATACAATATAGGTTTTTAATTTGATACCAATATCGGCAAACAGGATATGTCCAATTTTACTATTATTAGTCTACATTGTTATACTATATTGGTATGAAATAAATACTGGAATCTAGTTTGAAACCCATTTTGCCATTTAGTTTATTACCAATATTGGCATTCAATATTAATTCCCAAACCTTTCCACAAATATGCCTGGGATCGATTTGAACAAAAAAGTAAAATACTATTTTTTCACTGAGCGTATAAAGTCATTACATATTTGTTTGTAGGATAACGCTATGTAAACTGAGCCAAGTAAGCATTTTATACTTATTTTTTCTGGCCAAATACTCATTTAATGAAAAACGCTATTTTTACATGTTTGTTTATGTTGATCCCAGAAGCATTTTTTCCTTATTTTACTGGACTATAAAGTTTTTAATAGCCATTTTTAAAGATTTCAATGATTGCATGTGGACGTGAATAGTATAAGGGTTATAATAATAAAACAAACAATTATAAAACTTTATAAAAAAGTTTAATATTACTTAAAAAAAGGACCAATACATATTAATATTACATTACCATTAGGCAAAACAAGGAGTTAAAATTAAGAATTAAATTTTTTTTATACAAAATACATGTGATGAAAGATCGGAAGAACTGAAAATTAAAAAAATTTACCTTAATTATACTTCAGGATGCAGTAGAAACACCACAATGAACTCATTATTTTCAAGATTAAATATCGATTATTTTGCATTAATTTCTTTAACAGAAACCCTTTCCAATGTTTGTATGTGATGACATGAACTTTAAAATACTCAAATCTCTTAAGTCAATTGCTAACTCATCAGGGAAATAGTTTGTCGGATTTTTATAGCAATGGCCTTCTAGAAAAACATTACTTTCAGTTTGTATGGCTTGGGTAATTTATTATTTTTTTATTTTTAAGAACAATGTTATCAATGTTCTGTTTTTAGAACAATTATTATTGGAAAGAATATCTGAATTAACAAAGTTGTCAGTTATAATATGTTCATTAGAAAATATTGATACATTTGATATGTTGGATATATTTGTATTAACAGAGGTGTGAGATTTCTGTTCTTTATGACATAATGACATTCCTATTGATCTGTACCTTGTTCACTGAAACATATTGATGTACTTGTATTGGAAATTTCAGGCGAAGTGAGAGGGGTATCACTGGATATTTCAGAAAGATCCGCTAAGTGCTGTTTGACCGCCCTGTTAATTCTTCGGCACTTAACTGCACGATGCGATGCCATCATTGTCTGGAATTTTTGAGTTCTGAAATTGATATTTTTTTAGTCAATGATATAAAAGTTATTTGAGTTTAACATTATTTATGTGAGGTTTAAGCCCTGCTTCGTGTAAAACTAATACATATATATGTATATTTTTAAAGATACAAAAAAATACAAACTGTTTTTTACTTTCTGTATAGGAAACTCTTTACATACAGGTTGCTTGTAATGTCATTTTCTATAATTTTTGTTCTATACATAATTTCCCTAAAATTGACCGTATTCAAGAAATTTGACAAAAAGTGTAAAATTCAAATTTTTAAGAAAATTGTTAAAATAAAAGTTGTTTTGACGTCATTTTCTATAATTTTTGTCTCATACATGATTTTCCTAAAATGGACCGTATTCGAGAAATTTGAGACAAAGTGTAAAAAGACAAGCATATTTATAACTTTACATCAGATTTTTAGAATAACATTTTAGGTTTAAAAACATATAAAAAAAAAATTAAAAAATACCTATAGTAATTTCATAAAAAATTGGTTGTTAAGAATCCTAAAAGATTATGGAAATCCAGAGATACATGGAAAAATCCGAAAGTGGCATCACTGTCCTAAATATTACCATAGGGTACTTAAGTATGTATTTTCTGATAATACCTACTTTAATCTTCATACATTTATTAAGGTTTACGGTTCGAATCAATATTGGTCCAAGACAATCATGACATTGGCCTAATATTGGTAATCATTTCGAAATGCAGTCGATTAATTCGGTTGTTTGTTAATAAACAGAAAAACATTCTACTTACAGCTTTTCTTTCAATCCAAAATCCAGATGAAGAGGCACTTCTCAATAATTCAGGAAACTCTTTAAATAAAAAAACAAAACATTAGCTACCCTTAAATTTAAAAGAAAATGTGTGGAAATATAAAGCTTTAACGGTAATCCGGCATTTTACATCATGGCGTGTTACATATTTTAATTAATAGGAAAAAGACTACATCAGTTTTTATGAGAGATGTTTTTAAAAATGTTTAAACAAAATAACTTTTATCTTAGTAATAGAAAATATTATTTCTTTAAACAATTATTCAATGAAAAAAATGTATGTACCAGTTATTCACGGTCATGGAGACACATGCACAACCTGAGACAATAATCTATTCCTACACACCACAGTGTTGCCAGAATAATTTTCTGTTATGCAAGTGTTTTATTAGTGACAGTCTGATTATATTCATAGAAGAGCAAAAAAAAAATAAAAAAAAACAGTGTAGCTAATAGGTACACTAATATACATCCAGTCAAATGAAGGCATACCCACACGCTGGAGATAAAAGTACCTACTAGCTTTTGCCTCGAGTGTACTAAATACCAGATTCTTTAAGAATATACTAGACTAGCAACACTGACACCCTACACACACGAAAACTACAATATTAAATAGGTATCAAAATATTACAGTACACATCATGCGCTGTATGAACTTTATGCGTAGAGCGCATGGTGTTTTTTGTACCGTACCGTAATATTATGGTTTTTGAGTGTACCTATTGGAACAGACCTGTTGTAAACTGAAGCTGCCGGATTACCATTTGGTTAAAGTGATCAATGATTGGAATTAACATTGGCTTGAGATAGGCATGCAATTGGCCTAATATTGTCAATAATTTCAAATTATGATATTTTTACTTTTTAATCAGCAAAACAGGTTTAATAGGTACGCACAACTCTTAACAACGTAAACTGAAACTGCCGGATTGCCACATGTCTAAAATAACGATTTGATTTAATATTGGTTTGAGATAGGTATACAATTGGCCTAATATTGGCAAACATATATTGTACTTACATTTTATGAAAAAACATCCCTCACTCAAAAGCACAGTTTTCACTAAAAAAAATTCGTAGCTTATATTAGAACAAGTATCTGGGCAGCGTCCAGTTGTTAGACGTATTTCATACACATATGTTGATTGTTGTTACAAGACTGAGACTGAGTTGAGGCAAGTTGGCGCGTAGCTTGTCATGTGATCTCTCACGTGTCTTAGGTCGGAGGGGTGGATAAGGTGGTTTCATCTGGTGATTGTGAATGCCGTATCCTGAGAGCTAGAGCGTGGCTAGAGCTTATATCTTAATCGGTTAAACTGGGGCTAGTGTTAGCTTGTTTTCATGCATTTTTGCTTAGTAAAATATTCGAAACCTAATAATCTTAATACAATAATAATTGTCTAGAACATTATTTTGGTTAAAGTAAAATATTATGATGTAGTGGTCAAATTAGTAGGTAGGTACCTACATATATTGATATTAGGATTTATTTCCAAAATTAATACTTTTCTAATATAGGTAGGTATTTATAAAAATTTTCATAAACTAAAAATCAGATATTTCAATATTAAATTAATACCTTTATATTTTTATAATTTGAATATTTAACTATTTAGTTATTCTATAAAAAAATGCAAAATTTGACGTTTCTTTTCAACCCACAAGTCCCATAACGCATTTTTTTAATGGATTGAAACAATTTTTTTTTTTTTAGTAAACAATTATAACTTGGCATTAATCAACTTGTTTTAAAATAAAGTCTTTATTTATTTTGGAAAATAATCGATTAATACCCTTCAGCATACTGATATGGTATACATATGTAAATTATGTAAAAAATAGATAATATGCACGTGGGTGTAGAAAAAAATCAATAAAAATCCAATTAAGTACCGTTATTTGCTATATTATACCACATTGGAATAAAACTTATATTGGAGTCATATTCGAAAAAACGTTGCCAATAAGAACATAAGAAATACATGTTCGTC